CACTGTGCCCGATGCAGGGATAAAATCCCGAATTATAGCGTTATTAGCCACCAAATTTACCAATGAGCCTCAAGGGTGGGGAGTGAAATGTATGGAAAAAAAAATCTTGAAATATTTTACTAATTTTTCCTATATCAAGTAACGTCAAGATTAATATGGAATCACTTGACCAAAACCGACATAAATTTCCAAAGATTTGACAAAGCGATTCTTTAGAATCTTCAATCCCATACATTTCAGAAAATAAGGCAGCGAGAATTTGATACACATGAAAGCGTACATTGATAAACTATGACTAATAAAAGAATGAACGCTGAAGAACATCGGAAAATGTTTAAAAACTATGGTTGAAATTGGACAGTGTAAACTTGAAAACGTTTTTGCTACTTTCAACCCGAGCGGCACCTTATGCAATACGTGGTCTAAATGGCCAAATCAGGGACTACAAGGTTTAGGTAAGTTGTCCCTAATTAAGAGCTGCAGATCAGATTCGAGCAACTAGTTAGCAGTACCCGCCGCTCACACGACTACACTGAATCGAATAGCGCGAATTGCTGTCTTTTATAAAACGTGCTTACAACTGAAAAGGCGGAACGTGTTCATAGAAATATTACGTGAGTTTTTCCATCAAAAGTCTTTTAAAAGCTCTGTACGATTTTTTGAAAATAATATTTCTAAGCTTGTATTTTAACGTGTTGACAATTTTGAAAATGGTGTTATTTGACAAACTTCTTATAACGTTACCATAAAATTACTAATAACATTTTTAAAGGATTACAACTAACTCTGTTATTACAAAGTTAAAATGAAACGATGCACCTTACCATTACTTTGTTTATCATTTTCCTAGAAAATCAGTGTTTAGTGTGTTGAAGATATTCTCTTTCACATGTCAAGAAATAATGATAAACATGTTGAGCTTGTAATCTCACAGGGCTAATGGCACAAAATGTATAATCATTTGAACACTCATGTAAAAAAAAAAAGATTGAATAAAAATAATATTTAACTCTCAAATAGAGAACTGATAACTCGATCGCTTTGGAAGGTAGAACTTTTTAAAGGTGGGTTAAATTTCCTTTCCTTCAGAGGAGAGAGGATGGTAGAACTTTTTAAAGGTGGATTAGGTTTCATTTCCTTCGGAAGATAGAGGAAGGAAGAACTTGTTTTTAAAAGTGGGTTAAGTTTCCCTTCCTTCGGAGGAGAGGAGAAAATAGAACTTATTTTTAAAGGTGGATTAGGTTTCCTTTCCTTCGGAAGAGAGAGGAAGGTAGAACTTTTTCAGACGTGGATTGGGTTTCTCCTCCTAAGAGTGGAAAGAATTCCTTACAAAAATGTTTGAAAGGTTAATAATTATAACAATAAAAACTGTTAGAACCATATATTTGTTTAACAAAGTCGCTATGTTTTATCACGCAAATGACTAGTAAAGCAACCAAGAGAATCTTGAAAAAACTTTGATCACTGAGTGGAGTGATCTTTCGTACCAAATGCTAGTCAATAACTCCGACAGAGCGCATTAGGTAAATATATACGTTGCAAATGCTACACACACGAATTAAAAGTTGATTTCATAGTGTAGTGGAAGCTTTCCTACGTAGAAAAACAAGATGGGGATCCTCAATAGTCGCGGCACTTAAAATTCTTTTAGGCAGGATTAGATTAAATAAATCTGAGAGTCCTTTTTTCCTTTTTACGATCTATATTTATGCCTTTAGCAATACCAGACGTGGAGCGCGCGTATACCCGATTCGATTTTATTACTCATCAGGATCTCTACCAGGCCACCCTAAAATTGAAATTATTTTAGGTAGGATTAGAGTAAATTAATCCAAGAGACCTTGGCACGATTAAATATTCAATTGAAAGGGTCCGATCTTCTCAGTTCAAAACAGTAATTAGATCTCAAATTGGTCAAGAGATAAAGGAGCTATGAGCTAAAAGTTTGTATTTGAGAAAAAAAAAACAAAAAAAACATCCGAGCCGTTCTAGGAGCCTCTATGCCGCGGCTGAAAAAAACAAACCTCTGAGCCATTCTAGGAGCCTTTATGCCGCGGCTGAAAAAGTTTCATCCCAGTTTCAATTACGTTCAACATGCTATTTTAGTACCTTGCAACAGATTGAAAACCTCTTACATCTCTAAGTATGTAGGCATTTCTAGCAAACATTAATCATATTTAATTATAGAATATAGTCTCTTTTCATTGTATGCAGGTATATAAACGCTCCATAAAATTTAAGGTGAAATATACGGAAGTTTAAATGCACGAGTAATCAACGCTATAGACAAAGGCAGAAAAATGTCTCGTCTTCTACACCAAATGATATAAATCTGTATGTCATCAGTTCGACAAAACCTAATGAAATGTATAGCTGAAAAAATTATAAATTACGAATATTACCGAATTCTAAGGATCATAATAAATCATACATTTGAAATAGGTACTTTCGAAAATTCGAAACATGTTCAAAGCCAACCCGACACCCAAAACTGGGAAATACAAGGCAAATCTAATTGAATTAAAGATAACAGAATTGGATACAAGAAGCATTAACAGAAAAGCACTCTCTTAATTTGCATTTGATAATACCATTTTCGGAGAATGTGGCTACAGTCTTATACAAAAACTCAAAATATTTGTATTACTATTGTATAACACCCTTTATTGGGAACTTAATTACACTGGATCAAATTACACATAACGTGTTAATAAAGATTTTAACTCTTACAGGTGTCGGGCGTGGCTAAAGCTACTCGAGAGCTATCTGCGCTCGCCCGGAGGGAAGGAAACCCTTGGGTTACTCTTCACCAACGAACAGTGGGATTGACCGTCGCATTATAAGAACTCCAAGGCCGAATATTGAAAAGGGGCAAGTATGTTCGGTGATGGGTTTCGATCCCGCGACCCAGAGATTGTAAGTCGAGCGCAATAGCAGTCTCAGGTGCGCTATAAGAAAGACAGTCCAAGTACAATATTATGTCAGACAAAAGTAACCCACGAACTGGTTGCGAGTACCGTTTCCTAGCTGCTTTCTCTCTCATCTGTCATTTAAAAGTAAGAAACGATTCTGCGCAGATAGTCCTACGTGTAGCGTTGCGCGGAAATTACGAACGAACCAACCAATCAAACAGTCTGATAATACAAAACAAAAACTGCAATCGACTGTCACAAGAAGCTCGGGATGAATAAATAAAATGACTAATGAAAACAATGCATCCTGTAATCCCAAAGTAATTGGTTAGCATCCAAAATTTACAAAGATTTCCTTTTTACATCTACTGCAGAAATCCCCCCCCCCCCAAAGCTATTGGTGGTGCATTGCACCCAAACATCACAGAACTCTTGGCGAGTAGAATTCTGGCACCTTGTAACAGAAGGACAACCTGTTGTCTAGTTGTTGTTTTTTTTACTACTATTCTGTCCTTATGATGACATTATGGGATAAAATCTTACAAACATTAACTAAACAGGGAAAGTTTGTTGTATTTTATCTCTTTTTTTTACTCTCAGCGTTAATTTTGTCGTTACATCACAGGGTTTAACCCTTCGTATTCTCAGATCACCTAACTGTTTTGCCGAGATCCATTATCGTTGATCTATTTTTATATCTAGGTCAGATTTAAAATACTTGCTGTACTTGTAGATTACTAAATGAAATTAGCATGAACAATGTTTTCTGTCCTAGTTCTGTCCATATTTTTAGCACACTTAAACTACATTTTTTATTTAAAAAAACATATATATATGATTTATAACGTTGTTGTTACTGGGAAAATTTCTTTATTGTTACGACAAGATTAGAAAAAAAAAGTATGGAAAATCGTTTTATTTTCTTCTCACAGTCCTAGCTATTTAAATTCTCATACATTTTTCTTTCAGTTAATGATTTAAGCCTAACGTTCTGGCAATTTCGTCGCACAGAATTTTGTCTGTAAAGCAGCAAATATTAGTTATTTTTATATTAAAGACTATATCTTCTAGACAGTTTAAACAAGGACATAACTACGCCAGAAAGAGCTTTTCCAAGACGTAAACTCGGCAGTTTTCCGTTATTACAGGATGGTGCACACAGAATTCAGGATGCGCTTGTCGTGGAGATTCTGGACTTACAAGCGTTTATTTTATTTTCAAGGAAAAATACAAAGTATTTAATCAATATATACTACACTTATTTTCTAGACAAATAACATATTATAATCTTTTTTCAGGCACACTGTACTACTATATTAAGGGAGAAAAAACAAACAACAACGTTTTATGGTACAATTAAAGGTAAAATATGTATTGCTACTTATAGCCGACTAGATCACACAGTGTTACCGAAGGTGGTCGTCTGTAAGTAATAAATATTTCATCGTGCTAAAAAACGTCGGTTTTTGTGTTTAACTCTTAATATAATAGCATACTCATAAATGTAACATGACAAACACACACACACACAGTCCTATACATTAGAGGCCCGGCATGGCCAGGTGGATAAGGCGCTCGAC